TTTTCTTGTAGATTTAAAAAGGTTTGAGATATCGGCATATGTTTAAAACCGCATTTTTACAAAAAAAGTCAATAATTTAGAAAACCTAAGACAGATTTTTCTCTAACTTCGGCAAATAAGCCTTAGAGCTCAGTCAGTAGTGACTGTAAAACTCGCTGCACAAATAGCTGGTCAAATTTAACGTTAAAATTTAACGCTAACACATTTGTGAACATGAGTTGACGCACAAATAGAGGAAAACTGCAGATGGACTAGCAGCTGCACTGAAAGCCCTTGTACTTGGTAATTTATTGAAGCTTTTTAGACTTGATACCACATTCGCACGAGAAGTTTGCCACTTGGGAATAAAGATGAAGAAAATATGACAATCGTCTCATTCTTTTCATTATCCCCAATGGCCAACTGCCCGTGCGATTGTGATGGCAAATCAAACAAGCTTGAATAAATTACCAAGTACAAGGATTTTCGTTGCAGCTGAAAATGGATCGGTTGAAGTACTGGAGTTTGTGGCTTTAATTCTCCTCAAGACGGGAACCTTCGGTGGTAAATACTGGTAGGAGATGTCCGTAAATGCGATATCTTGCTTTATTGAGATTTTTTCTAAAAGAGAAGGGCAAATACACATTAACTTTCAGATGTTCTTTAATCTTGCCCCGCATTCAGCATAAAGTTGTTCTTCTTGTATTGGAAATTGGATTTGCCGTAGGTTTCTGATTACTCAGTTTATTGCAACTGAAGCTTTGGGCAACAATTCCCTTTCAGATAGGGGATAGTCCGTCGGCAATTTTCCTCTATTTGTGCGTCAACTTTCACAAATGTGTTAGCGTTGCATTTTAACGTTAAATTTGACTAGCTATTTGTGCAGAGAGTTCTACGGTCACAATTGACTTCAAACTTGCAGATATAAAGCTAGAGAGCTCTTAGGCTTATTTGCTGAAGTTAGAGAAAAATGTATCTTAGGATTTCTAAATTACTGACATTTTTGTAAAAATGCGGTTTTAAACATATACCTATATCTCGAACCTTTTTATACCTACAAGAAAATAAATAACATTTTCTTAAAGTTCGACCATGCCAAAAATCATAGAAAACGGTTGAATCTTTCCTGCTGAAAAACGCGATTCAAAAAACATACACAACGCGCATATAAATAGGTTCGGGCCACCTAAACTAGAAACGTCATTTCATTTCATTTTCATCTCATTTTATTTGTTTCTCCAAACCCTCCAAACCAAGATAATACAGAATTGAATACACATGTCAAGGTGAAAAAGTAAGAAAAAAAATATTTACAAAGACATAAAACACACAATACAAAATAACAGCACGTAAATTAATTCAAATTGTAAATAGGAGGGAGAGGAGAGGGACACGTCTAGATAAACTAATATTGTGCCTTTTAAACTTACGTATAACAAAAAACTTGTAGTTAAAGTAGAGGAAGAATATAAAATAGCTCGGTGAATTGTAAAAGAGAGGATGTTTCATTAGTATTGAGCAAGGTACCAGCGTAAAAGTGCTTTTATAAACAATTTTTAAGACGGCTTTTCTCTGATTTATAGCGGAGTGCTATTTCAAAAGAATCTTCTAATACCACTGCGGCAGAATCTCCCGAGATTAGTTCGAAATGGGGGTATAATGACTACATGTATTTGATTAGATGATGCACTGCGGGTATAATTATAATTATGTAGCTCAGATACTTAAGTGAAACAGGTATATTAGGAAACTTTTCATGCTGGAAATAATCATGAAAAAGCCTACATGTGTTCCCTTTAACAATATCAGGAAATTTCAATCGGCTGAGGGATACGTAATGTGGAGTTATTGATTCCATTAAAAGAACATCATTTGTAATACGAACCGCTTTGTTTTGGAATTTTACGATTTGAGACGGTGAAGCATTATAATTAATTACCCATAATGAAGCATTATAATTAATCCCCATAATGTACAAGCATAAGTAAAGTAAGGATACATATTAAAAGAATAATACAAACTAATAAGTGTTTGCTTTTGAGTCATGATGCTTTAACTTAACCACTATATTTATATTTTTACTTATTTTGCCACATATGTAGTCAATATGCATAAATTGGTCACGCCAAGTAAGATGACAATCGAGTACACACCAAGGTATTTGACGCAAAAGGACTTCTGTAAATGAACATTTGCTACGCTCAATGGTGGATACAAATTGCAATTTTCCTTTTGATAAGGCATAAAAATAATAAGATATAGAGAATACTTCGTGGTAAGTGTGGACGTACGCTATTTACGCACGAGTTGTTGACATATCAGCGAACGAGTGAGATTTCTGATACAAAAACAACGAGTGTGTAAATAGCGTACAAAGCACTTTCCATGTGGTATTGTGTTTATTATATATATACTGGGATTTAAATTCTTTTTGATCGTCTTTAATGACAGACCAAGACAAAACTCTGTTACATGAATTCATGTTAAAAACTCATGCAAGGATTATAACATAAGCTTGAATTTCTGCCAGAAATTTAACATTACAGCAAGCAAATGATGTTAAAATATTATTTCTAAACTTTAATCCGATTCGGACTCCTCAATTCGGATTCTTGTCCACCTTTTTACGGTGGTTTCGGTGACGGAACTCCTGGTTTGAATGGTCGGCGAGGTAGTAATTGCATTAATGGAAATCGTAAATCGTCCTCCACTTACTACTGCTCCATCAAAAAAACTCATCGGGGTTTTACTAGTGCAAGTGCCGGCAGCAGCAGTTTCGTTAGTTGCAGTAGTTACATGTGTTTGCGATGATGCTCGGCTTAAGACGCCCGATATGTTTTTTTGTTGATTTAGGTTCAAGCTACTATAGTTTGTTATGCTTTGCAAGCTCTTGTGCCCACTTAACTGCATTATATGCGTTGGCGGAATTTCACTGTCATTAAGTTTTTGAATCATGTGTTTACGAGTACTATGGTTGGTGAGTCGCTCGTTGTTGATGTTTGGTTTTGAAGCCATTTTTTTCATCAAAGTGTTTAATTTACTTACACCCATAGGTGCCGACTTTAACCAGTGTTTTTTTGGAGCCGTCTGTTTTCGTGTGGTTTGTTCCCAAGTGGAATGGCGCATCGTCAGCCATCATGTTTTCCGGTCGCTTTTCAC